TGTGCGCGGACTCTGACGATTTGTCAGCGGTACAGTTGGGCGCGTTGCGCGGGTTGCTGATTGAATTTTCGGATGTCTTCAGTAAACATAAGTATGATATCGGATGCACGGACCTGCTACGCCACCACATTGAAACGGGCGATGCGGCACCGGTCAGGCAAAATCCCTTCCGACTGAGTCCTGCTGAGAAGGAACATGTTCAGTCGGCAGTTAACGATATGCTGGAAGCCGACATTATTTCGCCTTCTTCCAGTCCTTGGGGAGCACCTATTGTGCTCGTTAAAAAGCAGGACGGGTCCCTGCGATTTTGCGTCGATTTCCGCCGCCTGAATAAGATCTCGGTGGCCGACGCGTATCCGCTCCCCAGGATGGACGAGTCTCTCGACGCATTGTCCAGTGCGCGATACTTTTCAACTCTTGATTTATTGTCCGGATTTTGGCAGTTGCCACTCGACGAGGAGTCTAAGCCTAAGACTGCATTCCGGACTCCAGGGGGCCTGTTTCAGTTTAACCGGTTACCCATGGGACTTCACTCCTCTCCTGCGACGTTTCAGCGTCTTATGGAATTGGTTTTGTCGGGCTTGCAGTGGGAAACGTGCCTCATTTACCTTGACGATGTCATTGTTTTCGGTAAAACGTTCGAAGAACACCTCCAGCGATTGAGAGGGGTGTTCTCGCGAATGCGATCGGCTAAATTAAAGTTTAAACCGGCCAAATGCCATCTTTTTCGTAAATCCGTGAGGTACTTGGGTCACATTGTCGACTCTTCGGGGATTTCTACCGATCCTGCGAAGACGGACTGTGTCAGTTCGTGGCCGACGCCCACGTCAGTGTCAGACGTGCGCAGTTTCATCGGTTTTGCTTCGTATTATCGCCGATTCGTTGAGCACTTCGCCACCATTGCAAAGCCCTTGCACGCTTTAACGGCAAAAGGAGTGAAGTTCCGGTGGGGACCGGAGGAGGAGGCTGCATTCTGCTCCCTCCGGGACGCCTTGGTAAGGGCCCCACCCTTGCGCTATCCGGACATTGAGAGTCCCTTCTTGCTAGACACGGATGCTAGCAACACGGGCATTGGGGGGGTGCTGTCCCAAGTCATTGGAGGGGTCGAACGGGTGGTCGCCTATGGTAGCAGGGTGTTGTCGCCGGCAGAGCAGCGCTACTGCGTCACCCGTCGTGAACTACTTGCCATTGTTTTTTTTGTACAACAATTCAGGCCATATCTCTATGGTCGTCATTTCACGGTCCGGACGGACCATGCGGCGCTCCAGTATTCATTACGGGTTGCCCAGCCCTCGGGCCAATTGTCGCGGTGGTTGGAAGTCCTCCAGGACTATCAGTTCACGACTACGTACCGTAAAGGGTTGCGACACACGAATGCCGATGCCCTGTCGCGGTTGTTGCCTTGTCACAAATGTGCGTGCTTATCGGGATCGGCGCGCTGTAAACCTCCGGTTACGGAAGGTAGGGAGGCGTTGGTTGCGACCGCGAGCACACCAATTGGGGATGGTCCCGCTACCCCAGGGGGTCAGGACTCGCTGCTCTCACTGTCGTTGATTGAGTGGGGCCGTCTCCAAATGGCGGACAGCTCCCTGCTGGCATTGCGCCGAAAGACGGAGGGTTCCGAAGGTAGCCACGACCGAACTGGCTCCTACGAGCTTAAGCAGGGCCTGTTGATGAGATGGGACAGTTTGTCCCGGCGGCATTCGATTGTGGTGCCTTCTGCTGTGAGGGGGAAGGTTGTCTTGGCCGCACACGAACGCCTCTTGCATTTGGGAGTTAACAAAACGCTTGCCCTGCTTCAGCGTGACTATTATTGGCCGGGAATGGGGGGTGACGTGGTGAATATTCTGAAGGGTTGTGTTGAGTGCGCCAGACGGAAACCACCGCCCGTGGCAGCTAATCCACCGCTGCAATCTATTCAGGTCTCGCGCATTAACGAGCTCGTTGCACTCGATATTCTGGGGCCCTTTCCGGTCACGCCTAGGGGTAATAAGTACCTGTTGGTGGGGGTCGAATATTTTACCCGGTGGCCTATGGCGTGGCCACTCGCCAACCAGTCGGCGGCGGCTGTGACGGACGCCTTTGTCCAGGGCTACGTCCTGGACAAGGGGGCTCCCGAACGCTTGCTGACTGACCAAGGGAAAAATTTTTCGAGTAAATTACTGCAGGAGGTGTGCGACCTGTTGGGTACCAAAAAGGTGCGTACCTCCCCGTACCACCCGCAGACAGACGGGATGGTGGAGAGGCTTAACAGGACATTGACCTCTATGCTGTGCCAGCAGGTGTGTGAGTCGCATGTTGATTGGGACCTGCAGGTCTCTGGGGTCCTTGCCGCGTATAGAATGGCCCCCCATGCAGCTACGGGGTTTTCCCCGTTTTTTCTAATGTACGGCCGGGAAGCCGACCCGCCCATGGAAACGCAGCTGGGTCTGCCCGCACCACGAACTAATTCTAAATTGGCAGAGCATATTAAATTTAACATTCATAAACTGACAGAGGCAAGGGAGGCCGCACGGCTTAATTCGCGGGCTCGCCAAATTGCGAACGAGCGGTTGCGGGCACGGAAGGTATCCGTGCACAATTGGGAACCAGGTGACAAGGCCTGGCTGCATTGCCCTCAGGCACCTTTGGCCACGTCGCCTAAATTGTTGAAGCCGTGGCGGGGACCCGTGGAGGTCGTGCGGGTTGCGCGCCCCCAGTGCGTTCAGATAAAATGGGGGAAACGCCGTTGGTACGTCCACCCCTCCCGACTGAAACCGTTCTCGCCTCCGTATGGCCTCCCCTTGTGTCGTGAGGGCCGAGCATGTGACGTGACCGACGACCCTGAGGGGGAATTGTCCTTGCCTGCTCCTCACATGTCTCCGCCTGACCCGCTCCCAGGTGTCTCGGAACTGACTGCTGCCGACCACCGGCGGCCGGATCTCCACGGCGGGGCCGGTCCTTCCAGGCCCGATCCGTGCCGTCTAGAGCTGCCGGAGACACCGGACGGTCGCCAACGTCCCGTTCCGTACGACGGACCGGCCAGACGGACTCGCGCTAGGTCGCGCTACTTTGTGTAATCTACCACGTGCGGAGTCGAGGCAGCCGGAGCGCCTCGGCACTGCGTGGGTCACGGTGACACTTGGCGCGTTCGTTTTACGGTGTTCGCTTTTATTGTGTTGTTCGTCGGGCTGTATATTGCTTCGTATTTAAGGTTGTGTTATGTTGTTGTTGTTGTTGTGTTACGGGGCACACTGGGATGTGGAGTTCTTTATTACTGCGTTGCGTTATGTTGTGTTGTAGGTTAACAGCCGGGCCGGCTGCAAGCTATGTGGGAGGGGGTGATGTAGAGGTGATACGCGCTGGGATTAAGGATCGTATGCACAGTGTGTGATGATTGGCTGTGTAGGTGGTGACGCGCGCTGACGGTGGAGGATCAGGGGTCAGCGCGGGGTCGTGGGTTACGGGGTACCGATTGGCTGTGGGCGGTGACGCGCTGAGAGGGAGTGATTAGGTGGCAGCGCAGTGTGATTGGTGGAGTAATGTTAACACGCGCTGGGGAGAGCGGATCGTAGAGAGAGTGCGTCGTGATTGGGTCATTAAGGAACGACGCACACGTCGACGCCGCATCAGCTCCGTCCCTCGTGAGCAGGGGCTATAAAAGGGGATGCACACAGGCGTAAGGGCAGTGTGTAACCAGCGAAGAATGAAGACGGGGATGAAGACCTAGAGCCCTGCGGTACCTAGCCCCGCTGTCCTAAGGGGACCGGGACTCTGTGTAACCCAGAGGCGAGTGTAGTGGGTGTAGCCTTAGGGCTTACACGAGTCGAGTGTATTGTGTAGCCAGAGGCATAGGGCTTACACGAGTCGAGTGTATTGTGTAGCCAGAGGCATAGGGCTTACACGAGTCGAGTGTATTGTGTAGCCAGAGGCATAGGGCTTACACGAGTCGAGTATAGGGTGTGTAGCCAGAGGCCTAGAGCTTACACGAGATTAGTGGAGTGTGTCGGAGGAAGAAGGAAGACCACACGTTGTATTGTGATACCTAAAGGATTTAATAAAAGTGTGTTACCCGTCAAGAAGTTCCTGCCGTCAATTCCCATACTTCACTTTGAGTAACGTGTGATATCCAACGTGTGATATTCAACGTGCGTCCATTATGTGTAGGGGATGCTGCTGCCGCCGCGGTGTAATAATTAGCAGTTAGCACATTGGACTTGCCATCCTGACGTCACCGGTTTAATCTCCTGGCGCGGCAGTTGCAACTGCCGATGGCGAGATGTCAAATACCTGACCTGGTATACAGGAGGTTGTTGTTTCGATCCCGATCCTGACGCCTGTATATTTGGAGTTTGCGGTGTCTCTCTGTCCGAGGTCGCGTGGAATTTTCTCCGGGTCCTCTGGTTTTTCCCTCCACATGATAAGTCACTTCATTGGGCGATCATTTGTGACCAGATCGGTTCTGAAAAAGAGCTACATAGTTCAGTGAGCTTTACCTGGTAAAATAAAATTTAGTTAATATTTTTTAACATTCGTAAAAGTTTCTTGAATCCCTTCGACGTGTGTTCACTAACTAGTCTGCATGTCTCTCTCCCCGTGGTCGTGTGTCTTTTTCTCTGGGTCCTTCGGTTTTTCCCTCTACATTTAGAATCAATGTGCGTTTAGAGTATTTGGTTGCAATGCATTTCCACATGATAAGCCATTTCGTTGAGCTATCATTTGTGGCCAGGTCTCTTCTGAAAAGAGCTATATAGCTCATTTAGCTTTACTTAGAAAAATAAAATATAGTTCATAGTGTTATAGAGTAATAAGAAAAAGTTTAAATTTTTACAGTATACTAACTCCACAGTAAATCGATCGGCACATAATGTTCCAAGAAGCATGGCCAGTGTAGACCAAGTACCCACCAGAGGGGCTATCTAAAGATTCTTGTCATGTAGCACCTTGGGCTAGTAGTGGCATGAGCAAGCATTTGCAGGGCTGCACCTTTATATTACGTGTGATGCGTGTGGCTTGCGCAGGACACATTCCAGGATTACCTCGAGATGTTCATCCAGTTTGGCTACGTCACCCTGTTCTCGTCCACTTTCCCGCTCACGGCCCTCTTTGCGTTTCTCAACAACCTCGCTGAGATTCGCACGGACGCGTTCAAGCTGTGCACGGCCCTGCAGCGGCCGTTCGGGCAGCGCGTCAAGAACATCGGCATGTGGCAGGTGCGTTCGTGCAGTGGCTCGTCCAGGCTTAGTGGACATGACCGCGAGTAACGTGCGATAGTCATTGTTTTGTGTGTATGTATGTTTAACTTCTTTAACATCATACGTAGCCAACGGTGCTAATCAGAGGTGCAGGTGGAAGGACAACAACTAAACACAAAAAGCAGTTCTAAAAAAATTAGTTTTCAATCTAGATTGTACGTATGGTATTATATGTGGGGGACGTATGTATTTTGAACTTTTATTGCACCGTACGTAGCCAACCGTGCTAATCAGAGGTGCGGGTGGAAGGACAACAACTAAACACAAAAAGAAGTTCTAAAGAAATGAGTTGCCGCTGTGGTGCAAGTTGGCACACTGGAGGTCGACGTTCGATGTCCTAGCGCGGCAGTTGAAGCAATGGAAAAATATCCTAAAATACAGTGAGTGGTTTGCCGATCTGTAGCTATCAAGCAAATACAGAATATTAGGTGGCTGTTAGGCATGAATTACGTTTCGAATAAAAATCTGATTTAAGGATAATTCTAGGACTATTTTGGTATTTTTATTGGTTTCATCTAATCATTTACATTACGTTGTGATTCAAAATGTACCCGTGCTGTGATGATAACACCTTCAAATCAATGCACGAAATTTTTTTTGGATCATTCACATTTTTGGGATGTTTAATATTAATCCAAAATTCAGGAACACATTGCTGGGAAATCTGGCATGTCCTCCTATTGGCTTAGGACAATGACTGTAGACGAGTACTGTTGCTCATTTAAGCAGGAAGACACTTTGACTTGACTGCTATGCACCTGTTTCTGTTCCCATTCTTTTGTTGTCATACAACCAGAATATCATGGAGGCAATGGGTGTGATCGCCATTGTGGTGAACTGTGCACTCATTAGCAAGGGTGGCCACCTAGAGAGGCTGTTCCCCTGGTTGCCGGTCAACACCTCTCTGCTGCTGGTTGTGACTTTGGAGGTGAGTCGCACGACTTACACACTGCTCGGTGGCTTTGCGAATGCTCACCTTTATAGATTACGTTTTGTGATGAGTGTCTGCTCGTGATTATGTCATTTCCCAGCACCCAACGGTCGTCAAAGTCAACGTCATGTCCTGCTCTAATGAACACGGGGGCGGTGCTCAAATCCTAGTTACGCACTGAGCCATTGATGGAAATTCCACTTTCCTATGGGTGGGGCAAGCGTATCTACAGGACAAATACTTCACTTTCCCACAACGTGGAATTCATTATTTTGACCCCAGAGGATTAATAGACTGAGTCAACCCCAACCTGGAATTGAACCTGCGACCTTATGATTGCCAGCTGCTCGCTCTACTGCAGCCACTTGTTTACAAATAGTAGTTGGTTAAGGTAACATTCCTGCATTTGTCTGCTCACGCCACTGATTGCAGAAGGGTCTTCTCTATAGGGAGCTCTAGAAAGCCTTTATATATTCACCAGTTAACTACGGTATAATTTGCCTTAAATTTTTATAAATTTCTAAGCAAGGCCTCAGGTTTCCCTCTTTAATCTCTTGTACGCTATATACTGAAGTGTTTATGTGCTGTTTGGGTGTCTGGTGTTTGTGCAGCACTTTGCATTGCTTATTAAGTACGTGATCCACATGGCAATTCCTGACATCCCTTATTGGGTGTTGGAGCGAATGGCACAGCTCGAGTTCCAGAGGAGGGAAGCATTGAAGGTACCCTACATCAGTAACCGCTGCATATCCATTTGCAAAGTGATTTTTGTAAATATCAGCGTTGTTGTAAGTCAAGATTAAACCAGAAGTTTAAATGAAGTACCTGTATGGTCTCTTAGCATCAGGAGATGCAGGAAATGGTGGACCAGGAGCATCAGGATGGAGACTCTCTGAAGGAGCATACCAGCCAGGAAGCCTTGGTGAAGAGAAGAGCTGAATCACACAGAGAACATACCACATAACAGCTGAAATAGCATCCATATGCAAGCCATATTAAAACATGATTTATAATGTGTAGCGCGCACAGTTTTCGTTCACTCAGAGTGAGAACTATTCAGAAGCATGGGAAACCACAGACACGTGGAAACGCAGCCAGATCCGGTGCTAACAATTGCCAAGTTTTGTCGTCCTCGATTGGGATATTTGGCCAACTTCATTATCGAGTGTGGGAGGAAGCCACACTCAATCATCACGGCGTCACACAGCCGCCCTGTCACGTGACTATGTCATTACAACGCCACACAAACCGTCCCAATTGCCACGTGGTTTTGGCATCACAGCGTCGCACAACTGCCCTGCCACGTGACTGGGGATTCTTCGTCGTGCAGGATGCCACCTGTCCGGGTTTAATCCTGGAATTGGGATTTGTGTTCGGGTGGCAGGAATCGATTTGTTACGGGATCTGGTGGTGCTGCGTTCAATGATCAAGGCAACCTGCGGCTCCGGAGCTGCGTGTGGATCTTTAAGGACTGCTTCGTGACGTTATTCACATGCATTGCAACTCTTGACATATTGAGTTTTTTTGTAAAAAAAAAACTTATTTCGGTTGCCGACTCCTGATCTTGGCTGACAGGAATATGTATGGATGTGGTCTATGGGAAAGGTGGAAACCTTCCTCTTCGGGTCTCTACACCTCTGGGTCGGCATCCATACTCGGCTCCCACACGGGGACACCTGGACATCTGTAAAAAAGAGCCTCATAGCTCATTGGATTTCTCCACTCTAAATAAAGATTCTGACACTATTTTCAGGGTTGATCTTTCTTACATTTTTGGCGGTGACGTCATTAGGAGCGAGCTATGATAAACGACGTGGTAAACTTGTGTTTAGTTTGTTGCTTGTGCACCACTGCCAACGCAGACGCAGCAGCACTAAGTAAGAATTTGTAGATAGTACGCGCCGTCTCAGCCACGCTCGCCTGTGACGTCACCGCAACCCATCCACGCGGGTGACGTCACCCACTACACTCTCGGGCCGGTGACGTCGACGCGAGGCTGCGACCCGCGGGCGACGTCACCGCAAATTTCCGTCTCGCGGCAACAACAAAAGCATCACGTGACACGGGGAGCGTGTCGATGCGCGTGCGCGCGTCGCGATTGGTGGAGGGGGCGGAGACAGCTCGGGGCCGGGTCACGTGCCGGCGCGTTAGCCAATGGCTACGAGGAGGAGAGAGGAGGGGGGGGCACGCCCGCTGCCCGGGTGTGGTGGTGGTGGGGGGCGGCAGCAGCAGCAGCAGGAGGAGGAAGTGGAACGACGCTGGGGGAGCGATGGCGACGGGAGCAGCACGGGGGGGAGCGGGAGGCGAAGGAGGCGGCGGCGGCGCGCGACTCGCGCAGCGGCCGCCGCGGCCCCCGGCTCCGCACGGGCCGCCGCTCGCCATCTCCGTGGCCGTGGAGCGATGTCCGCTGTGCAGCAGCTCGCGGCGCCGCCTGACGTGCGCCTCGTGCGTGCACAAGGGCGACTTCTCGTACATGGACGGCAAGGGGGACGAGAGGTGCGCGGCGACGAGACAAAGGCGGCCGCGGCGCGGCGTGACGAGTGGATGTGACGAGGGGTGACCCACGCCGGTGTGAGGGCTGACGAGTAGCGGGGGTGTCGTGGGGAGCGCCGCGCTGCGCCACGGAACCCGGCGAGCCGAGTTCGAGTCTCGCTCACGGCCACCAACACCCGGTCCTGGGCCTCCTCCCCTAGGTCGACTCGGCCTCAAATGAGTAGCTGGTGCGGTGTGTAAACATCTCCACTGGGGAGACAAAGGCGGCCGGGCGTCGTTCTGGCGTTGATCGGTGCTCCCGAACAGCACTTGCCTCCTCTGTAGTATTGTTCGTAGTGACGAGGTGTGAGAAGTGGCGTGAGACGAGACGAGGTTTGCCTGGCGCGGTGTGAGGAGTGCCAGGCGCTGGGCTGTGCGACGTCAGGTTCCATGAGGCGTGTGGCGAGTTTCCCTTTCGTGGTGGGATGTGGTGGTGTGTGCGAGTGTGATGATGAGGTCGACTAAGCCTCAGTGTAAAACATCGCCACTTCCTCCCTCGTGTGCCGTGCCGGCCTTCATAGGTGCTCGCTAGAAGCACTTGCCCAACATTCTGTTGACGATATACGTGGGGGGAGGGTGTCTTTGTGTGATGATGTGAGTCACAGCGGTGAAATGTGGGGTATGGAGAGGGTGAGCGATGGTGCAGGAGATGTGTGCGGTCTGTTTGCTGTGTGGGATGTGACGAGGATGTGGATTGTCAAGTTGTGTGGGATGTGACGAGGATGTGGATTGTCAAGCTGTGTGGGATGTGACGAGGATGTGGATTGTCAAGTTGTGTGGGATGTGACGAGGATGTGGATTGTCAAGTTGTGTGGGATGTGACGAGGATGTGGATTGTCAAGTTGTGTGGGATGTGAGGAGGTTGTGGATTGTCAAGCTGTGTGGGATGTGACGAGGATGTGGATTGTCAAGCTGTGTGGGATGTGACGAGGATGTGGATTGTCAAGCTGTGTGGGATGTGAGGAGGTTGTGGATTGTCAAGCTGTGTGGGATGTGAGGAGGTTGTGGATTGTCAAGTTGTGTGGTATGTGAGGAGGATGTAGATTGTCAAGTTGTGTGGGATGTGAGGAGGTTGTGAATTGTCAAGCTGTGTGGGATGTGAGGAGGTTGTGGATTGTCAAGTTGTGTGGGATGTGAGGAGGTTGTGGATTGTCAAGTTGTGTGGGATGTGAGGAGGTTGTGAATTGTCAAGCTGTGTGGGATGTGAGGAGGATGTAGATTGTCAAGTTGTGTGGGATGTGAGGAGGTTGTGGATTGTCAAGCTGTGTAGGATGTGAGGAGGATGTAGATTGTCAAGTTGTGTGGGATGTGAGGAGGTTGTGAATTGTCAAGCTGTGTGGGATGTGAGGAGGTTGTGGATTGTCAAGTTGTGTGGGATGTAAGAAGGTTGTGGATTGTCAAGTTGTGTGGGATGTGAGGAGGTTGTGAATTGTCAAGCTGTGTGGGATGTGAGGAGGTTGTGGATTGTCAAGCTGTGTGGGATGTGAGGAGGTTGTGGATTGTCAAGTTGTGTGGGATGTGAGGAGGTTGTGAATTGTCAAGCTGTGTGGGATGTGAGGAGGATGTAGATTGTCAAGTTGTGTGGGATGTGAGGAGGTTGTGAATTGTCAAGCTGTGTGGGATGTGAGGAGGTTGTGGATTGTCAAGTTGTGTGGGATGTGACGAGGTTGTGGATTGTCAAGCTGTGTGGGATGTGACGAGGTTGTGGATTGTCAAGTTGTGTGGGATGTGAGGAGGTTGTGAATTGTCAAGTTGTGTGGGATGTGAGGAGGATGTAGATTGTCAAGTTGTGTGGGATGTGAGGAGGTTGTGGATTGTCAAGCTGTGTGGGATGTGAGGAGGTTGTGGATTGTCAAGCTGTGTGGGATGTGAGGAGGTTGTGGATTGTCAAGCTGTGTAGGATGTGAGGAGGTTGTGAATTGTCAAGCTGTGTGGGGTGTGAGGAGGTTGTGAATTGTCAAGCTGACTGTGCGGTCATCTGGACCTGATAGCAACAGACACGGGTGTCGCGTGAATTGAGTTGGGGTGGAATGCCCGCTATGTATTCTGACGTGAGCACTGAGTGTGTGTGAGAAACAGAGTTACTTTTGGCGTGTTTTGTCTCACGAGGTGATACTTAAATGTTATTTTTGTCTGGCATTTCGTGATATATACACGTGACAGGAGTGTGAAAGCATCAACAAGTGTATGTTCACATGTTGATGAAAGCACGTGGCGCACGCGTATAGCTCGGATTTTAGTTGTCAGATTGCCATGGCTTTCCAAGAAAACATGAAACGATATGGCTTCTAATCACATTTTGTATATCAGTAGAGTGGAGCGCTATGAAATAGCTTCGTTTGTGTTAATAATGACACCTAATTGTATAACTTGAACATATAGAAGGGAAGTAATAAAATAATAAAAATAAAACATAATAAAATAAAATAATTCTCACGACGTTTCGGCTACAACGCAAGCAGTCGTGAGAATTATTTAATTTTATTATGTTTTATTTTTATTATTTTATTACTTCCCTTCTACGTGACTTTACCGAAAGAACCAAGAAGATGAATCCCTGCAGTCACGAAAGCTTTAAATCGAAATTTAACTTGAACATATCTTAGAGAACACGGTCCTGTCATTTCAGTGCTATATCTTTATGTAAAACCACTTGCAAATTAATGTAAGCATTGTCAATGTTAACATTTCTACCCCTTGGAATACCACACACATCTGATAATTCGAACAAATCAGTCGTTATATTAAAATACTGCTGTGAACTTATTTTTTATTTAGTTAAATATTTCTACTTTCGTGCCACGTACTGTACTACTAAAAAGAGAAGCTGTTTAGGGTGATTATATATATATTTTTTTATAGCTCGTGTTATGTAATGTGCATGTTTTGATGTTTGACTTTGGTCTCCTATATGGGTGGATGTGGTAACTCCTCCACACAGCTGTGTGGTTTATTGCTCTGTCAAAATGCTGAGTTATTATTTTGTGGAACTCCAGTCCAATATTAGACATTTGATCCAAATGGAAAATGGATGTGTTACATACGACAGAAATTGTTGAAATACTTCCATTCTTATTTTTAACTGTTGTCATTATAGGGATGTTCTCTCCTAAATGAGGGTAGCTGGGAATGTACAAGCTCGTGACAACAAGTTGGAGCAGATGTGCCTATACAGTATTTTAAAAAATGAGACGTTTTTATTTTAGTCTGAATACAATAACTATGATCCCTTTACTACAAACGAAACGTCTCAAATTAAAATATAAGCTGTGTGTGTGTACACGCATCTCTCTGTGCATTCTGTGTAACTCTTAATCTGCAACCTTTTCATCTATGCTTCCTCTTGTTAGTGGGGTCGCGCCATTCATTGAGTCTTTCTATTGTCTGCAGATCAGTCCTTTCTGTTGTTTACTAAAATCTTCCTAATGTTCATGGTGGCCCCGATGGTGTTATCCACAGTACTGTTGTCAGTCCTGTGGATACGGTGCAACTAAACCAGAATACTGCATCTTTTCTGTGGTAATGCTGTGAACATGCAGACAAATTTAAGGGCACTAAACGTTCATCGGACTGACTGAATAATAATGGTTGATTATGACGATGGTTGTCATCGTAACTTGTATAACATCTAAATTTGAGCAGACCTCACGACACTGTAAGAAACGGCCACAAATCTAAGCTGTATAATTATTTGTCTATGTTAATGCTTCTATTCCCATTCTTTTTTGGAGTTGGGGGGGGGGATATTTAAATGTTGCTGTGATGTTTCTTTTTTAATCTCTTCCTTACCCAACTCCTGATATGTATGATTTTATCCTCTCTTCTCGCTGATTTTTGTTTTGGCACTTGGACTATTCCCTCAGTTTTCACTGTTAAATTATAATGCCATTTCAGAGTTGATAAAATGTGGGCATAGTATTTTTCACCCATTTGGATATTCGAGAATTAATAGTATGTATTTATATGTGACCAACCAATGATAATGTATTATTTCACAAAAAAGATTGAAACATTGAACGTGAGATAAATGACAAAAGCTAAACAATAGTCTCGTACAGATTTGCTCATAAATAATCAATTTGAAGGGTCATTACTGAAAAACACAGCATCATATGTATAGTTATGGCAGGTAGTAAAGTTTTGTCATGATCAGGGGTCTGCAACCAAAATAACAAGAAGAGAATTTTTTTTCAAATTCAGCAACAAACTCAGTATTTCAAGAGCCGCAATGCAAGTGGTGAATGTGATACGTTGGTCCTTAATAAATAATGTCATGAAGCAATCCTTATTTAGGCGTATGCAGGTCTGGAGCCGCAGGTTGCTGACCCCTGGTCTTGATCAATATGAAATACAGAGGCCAACAAGAGTAGGATGCAGTGTTCTTGGAAGACTGAATTGGACAATGTAAAGCAACAAGACTATGCCTTAAGGAAAACTTTCCAACAAGTGCATATATATGTTCTCTTAACTGGATTTTACTGAATTAACAAATACATTTCATGTAATTCTTTGTGTAGTCATTCATTTATGAAATAACCAACTCTAGACGTATGAAATCTGGTTTCATTACGGTTTCCTGAAATCCAGCTTCAAACCCAGGATTTTAGCAGCGCTGGTTCAGCGTTATGAGTCATCTGGCTACCACATTCAATTTAAAGCTCGAAGTTGATGATCACACTATTTTTATTGAGGTTTACATGAGCAATAAGGAGAATGCCGAATAATTAGATTCCTACATATAGTAAATATGATTAATACATATGTAAAACTAATGTTTTAGCGGATTGAATTTATATTGTAAGATGTGTTTTGTGCCTGTATCTCTACAGCTATTTCAAGAAGCAAGGGAAACTGAACATCGCAAAAAAAGAGAAGCAACAATATCAGGAAAAGTAAGGGGCACAAGTGACTTAGTTATACGTTTTACTGTTTATACAGCTGCACATGGGCTGAAAGATCCTATAAATGCATTAAGAAAATTGAGTGACATGATAATTCCTCCGCAACATTATTTGAAAGTAAACCCCCGATCAACCGTGGTGACTTACCAACCAACATAGGGCAGTCCCATAGCTGCTGTCCAGTGTTGACTCAACCTTGTCGTAGGGGTAGTAATTGTATTTTTCTTTAACATTCTCTTCAGAGCAATTACCAGTACATTTGTTATCTGTGGATTTTGGTAAATAAGTGTGCCCTATATGAAGACAGCAACCCATTATTCCTGTATGTTTATCAATAACAATGCTCGAAGATTGTGAAGTGCGTTTTAAATAACGCTATGAATGCTTATGGGTGTAACGGGGATGTAGTGCGAGCACAATTTGCTATGAACTCAATTCTCGGCCACGGCAAACATAAGTGATGAGTGATACCTGCACCATTCCTAGACCTTCCTTTGACTCTGAATCCGTATATGTATTCATACTGGAGGAATCTGAGGAGCTATGAAGGTCATTTTTTACAGATGTCCAGTATTCACAGATGTCCAGCATGGTGAAGTGGATCATACAACTGCCATGTCTCTCGTGGTGTGGGGAAGCCTTTGTCCAATTGTGGACAAACAACAGGACTCCTATTAACTTATCCTGCATAGTGTGCGTTTCACTGGTGTCCACCAGCCTCTGTCCTCCAGCTGTGCATGGCTGTGATATTATGCCGAGGGCAGGAGCATTGTTAACCTATCACAGCTGACTTAGTGTGATTTTATTTTGCATAAATCAGAGTGCTGTGGTAATAATGCCAATGTGTATGAGTGACAGCATGACTGAGTAGCTGCTTGGTTACATGCTGTCTTTGTGTTTGACATTGGCAGGGTTCGTGAGGTGGCTGAGGCTCAGAGACAAAAGGAAAAGTTGGTGCGTAATAAAGCTATATGAATCCATCCAAAACACCTTTCAAATGTTTTTTTTCTATGCTGCAAAATGTATTCCTATCGTCTGGAGGAGTGGTTCTCAACCTTTTATGGCTACTGTATCCCCTTGTTGAATTTGGTTTCAACCCAGTGCCTGACCCAACATGGTTCTGAGAAATACATTTATGAATAATGAACATGAACATCACTATTTTAACCAATTGTCCATTTTGTGAGGTATACTAACTAGTTAGTTACTGCAAGCGAATACAAATAAATGAATGAGTTTTTAAATGTATTTGATATATTTCTAGGTTACCGTATGGATTTTAATATTACTGTGGTTATTTTATTTTGGCAGATTCATACATGATTAGTCACCAATGACTCATGAATGATATAATTTCACACATTTGTAAATCACCTCACGTACCTCCTGGGACATTGCCACGTACCGCCAGTGGTTTGCAGTACCCCTGGTTGAGATCCACGGGTTTGGAGGGCCAGTCTGTACCTGGAATTGGAGCAACCAGTCTATCTCTGTTGTCTCCTTTACTCACTCATGTTCTCGTCACGTTTGAATTGTTTGAATCTATTTTCTCATATTCTTTGGGTCTTTCGGTAAAGCCACATAGATAAAACAAATGGTCTCATGTTATGTCTCCTTTGTATTGCCTGTCTCAATTGTATTATATGTCTTGTTTTTTCCATTGCCATAGATGTCCACGACATATAATTGGGATAAATTGGTAATCGATATTTTTCCCAATCTATCTTGTTAGCACCGGCTCTTCTACTTTCAGCATATTCTCTTGGCACCAGGGAAAACCCTACAACACCAGGGCCCTGGTGTCTTATCAGGGCCACTTGCTGGTGGTTTTTCTTGGGGAAAAAAGATTATCTACTAAATCCACTAAAATACTCTATATGCAAAATTTGAAACGTGTATGATGAGTGAAATAATTTATTATAATCTGACTCGATGCATAGGTACAAAAAACGAATGTGGACCTATGTTTATGCCAATGACCACATGTGTGCCCGTGTGGTCTTCATAGAAGTGGGAGATCCTTTGCTGTAAGAGCCGGATTGATCTGCTCAAGAGGGCAATCGATCAAGTGAAGAAAGACACCTTGATTGGTGAGTCACGATCTGATGTGATTTGGGACCTGGCGATTCGGTACACATAACATACATTTTAAGTTATATTTCATACAATTCAACTGTGTTTCAAAACATGCATTGCAATGTTGAAAGGGAGGTATATAAAGTAAAGTGCATTTGAAAACACTTAAGATTGGGGACAGTCACAGGCAGATGAGAAGAAGAAGTTCTTGAGCCTTGACTGTAGTAGAGGCAGGGCGTTGGTAGCACATATGGTTGGGGGGAGGAAGAGAAGGACTACTCAAAATATCAGGGCATCAGGTGGCTAAAGCACAGTGAGTTGATAAAGTGTGGAGCACAGGTTGCACATCTGCCAGTTACCTTAGTTAAACCAAAATATATATATATATATCTATCCTATGAACTGCCTGTGAGGTCAATCCTAGCCTGGCAAAAACCCTGTTGCAATGCCAGATAACTTAAGTTTATTCTGTTTTTACTCTGTTTGGATTGGCTATCTGAACATGAGCTGGTGCAACATTAGTCTCCAGCATGACATGAATGCCTATGAAGCATGTGCTCAGCTATACTAAGGCACAATTCTGTCTTTCTAAGTCTTTTTTAAACTCTGCCCATGCTGTCAAAAGGGCCACACCAGTATTTAAATGTACCATGCAACAGCAAGGTGCAGTTGTTTGAACCACACGTGACTTGAGTCATTACCACTGGGATTTGGCTGTTACAAAAACACCTGGGAGGCATTGCTTAGACTTCATAGCGTTAAAGATGGAGTTTTAACTGAAGGTACTCTTATGCCCTTGAGCACACAATTGCAGACCGATCAAGTTTACCTTTATCAAGAATAAGCTGCCTCATGCACGTTTGTCTTGACTCTTGTAAAATGCCTCCGTCTATGCCATTAATTACACAGCAGACACACCAATATGTTCTGATAGTAATAATAAGACAATAAACGTGATTTTTAGACCGCAAAATGCACAATTTTGAACACGGGCTCACCTCCCATCATGTCTTGCATGTCACGTGATATCGCCATTATGCATGTGCAATCCACGCAGCCTTTTTTTCGACCAACAACTCAAAATAGTGGCTATATTTTTTGACGGAAAGAAAATGGATAAAACATGCATAAACTGTATATCCTTGTTGGTGACATCAGTATGGGGTATAGCTGTCATTCCCCTATGTTGTCTTATGCCTCAGGGACTTTATATGGACAAGCTCTTCATGATCACTCTCGGGACTTTGACCTGCACTCACTTTTCTATCTATTGAGGTTTTCATCGTTTACAAATAGTATTAGAATCTATTGAATGTATTGTGATGTTTACCATTAAGATTTGGCGATAAAGAGCTGCACATACCATTCTGCGCATGCATATTTTTCTACCCGCATGCAGTCCCTTGTATGGGACACCCTTCTGCTCGTGTGGCCTCCATCCCTGTTGCCTGCGTGTGCACGTGCATGCGTTCACCAGACAACGCTCACGTGCAGCGCCAACGGGATGAAAATGTGCGGAATGCCCTGCGTGCACGCAAGCACGCCGAGAAAGAGGAGACGATGCGGCGCCGGCTAGGCCGCCGCCGGGACTGGCTCGAGCCGCGGCTTCGGGAGCTGATTGAGCGCCTCAAGGCGCTGGGCACGGCGCGGCGCATGCACGTCCGTGAGCTCACCTCCTCCATCTTCCCACTCACCGAGGCCCTGCCACGCCCAGGGTATGTACGCTCACTCGCTGCGGGGGGGGGATGCAAGTGGAACAGGGCCTGCTGTCTTATGTGTGTGTGCACCCACGGACGTGTACATCGCGGGGCTATTTGTGTGTGAGCAGAAAGTGTACGTGCACGTGTGAGCGGGATAGGATGTTTGTGCAGACGTTGTGCGTGGATATGTGTACGTGCGTGCACATGATGGAGGGGGGGTGTTTTTTTTATTACTACCCTCCCTACTGAGGACAGGCCCTGAGGCCAAAAATGCCAAATGGCCGAACACAAGCGATCCTGTAAAATTTGTAATGGCTTAAGTTGAAACGTTTCTTGAATTGAGCAAGGTTATAAAATCCTGCGGAAAAGGACGATGAGTGGGAATTCCCATGTTGGGCAGTGTGAGGGAAAAATCACAAAGAGCAGTGTTTTTACTTGTGGTGTTGTTATTGAACACAGTATCGGAGAGTTAGGACATGTTTGTGCAGAATATCCTGAGGCCAAGTGCTCGTATTTGGCAACTTTGGAAAAGGCAACATGCCGTGTTTGCCATACATATGTAGACGGCAAATTAATGGCTCACTTATAATCCAAATGGTAATAAAATCAGAAAAGAATGACAAATTATCATTAACTTCAGTGTTATTTTAACATATCCAGCTCTTATGCTATGTGTATTTACAGCCGTGACAATTTGATTAATGACGAATAATTTGTGCTTGACTTTGTGAATTACATTGTGTTAAAAAAAATGCAACTTTCATCATTTTTTGTTGGAACTGAGCAATTAAGGATTACATTCTTCCCCAAAAACAGCACGTTATGGTGGATATTATGAGTTCTGACATTCCTCAATGAGAGTGTGAAAGATATGAAGAGTATCCCAAACGACAGGGAGAGTTATTTTTATCAACATACAGTTGGGGAGGTTCTGGCACATGAGAGTTTTACAAACTGCATCTACATTTTTACAGCATTTGGAGGTGTAAACAACACTCCATGGAAATGTTACGAACTTTGCTCAAGTTCTCAGTTAGAACCATGTAATATTGTAATCAGAACTTCAGTTGCCAATGTGGCTTTGAACATTTTTGGGATGGGAAACCCCCACATTTATTAGGCTACTTGTGCCTCAACGACACCACAAAGAGCTGCCTGATTTGGAGAGGTCCTTTGCAAATGATATTCATTATGTCGAGACATGTCAGTTATTCTGTTGTATATTAGGGGTACACTGAATATCCAGTTTAAATTTGGATCTAGTAGGAATCTGGCAATCCTTTCTTTCTGTGGATAACAAAAAAATTAGAAACTGTCAACTCCTGGCAGGACTGATTTCGCAATCATGAGTAAGTACTGTTTAACGAAAGAAAACGCACACTGACACCTATCTATATGCAGAGTCGCACCATCACCCTGCACAGAAGTCCACTCTCATCAATACGCTCCATCATCGGGCTAAAAAAGTGCCAGATGGTGATAGTCTGAGAAGTGAAATTAAACATGTTAAAGAAGCGCTGCAATTGAATGGTTACAATGATGCACAAATAAACAGGGCATTAAATGCCAAAACCAAATTGAAACTGCCCAAGTAATTAAAACTATTAAAATACCATACATTGCAGGAGTAACTGATAAACTAGTCAGATGCTTGGAAAAACAAAACATCCGAGTCAGATTTGGCATGGTACATAAAATACAGAAATTAATATCTGGTACAAAAGATGTATTACTGAAGCTATCAACAAAGGGTGTGTACCGGATTAATTGCACTTGTGGCAAATGCTATGTTGAGCAAACAGGACGAATGATCAGCACGAGACAAAAAGAACACCAAAGAAATATTAAATACTGCCAAATACAACTGTCAGCAGTAGCAGAACACGCGTGCCAACAAGGACACTCAATTGATTTTGATAATGTTGAAGTTCTGTGCAAAGCTAGTTACTACTGGCCAAGACTTAGAGAATCTATCGAAATTGAGAGAAGTAAAAATATTAACCGTTTATATTTAGTGCTGCTTGGAAGCAAATCATCAAGTAATACATTGTTTAAATGCATGCCTAAACAGGTCATCCTACTTGAATAACGATTACCGTTGGTAAGGCTATTATCGTACACACAATCCCATAATGCGCATGTATAATCTACGTTGAATACCATATTCATTAATCCCCCCCCCCCCCCCCACTTCGCGAAAGAAGAGCGCACAAATGTTGTCATCACATCTACGCCTCTTTTTAAGGAACGAAACAGGTGGACTTCTCCACAAATCTGGCAGTCGCCTGATGAAGCTAGTTGTAATTACTGGCGAAACAACGTACTCGGATTGTAAATGTTGTGGCTTGGCTCTCCAACACACCGGTGTGCTGTACTGGTAACGAATTGACATGTTTTGTTTACATAAGAAACCTTACTAATTGGCTGTGTCGGGTGGTGGCGGGTTTAATGACACATTTATATATTTACGCAATCTAACCCAAAAAAAAATGTTTTATGGATGATATTGGTCGCGAAAGCCTATGTGTTAAACCGTGAGGTCAATTTAACATGCATGCTTTTGCGACCAATATTCAAGATCCAATTATTTGCATTGCAAGTCAGATGTTCGTGTCGTTAAACATCAGAGAAACACAACACATTACACAAACAGCCCCAGAAACCTTTATTATGAAACTGGACAGGTTTTTATTTGCAGACTCATTTAATAACCATCTTATCCAGCATGTAGTCTGTACTCATAGCACATGGAGATTTGGGGTGGAGGTCAGTGGAGATGGCCTAGCGGGTAAAATATTCAATGCACACAACATGAAATTCGTGAGATCTGCATATGCACGCTATTATAATCATACATTCATTCTCACTACGACCTCAATTATGATTACATCTCTATTTTCCTCTCTATCTCTATTCTTAATATTTTCTCTCTATTAAATAAATCTGTCTTCTAGCTCTTCTGAATACATATACCTATTTTTATTAATACATTTCGCCACGCTCTTCTCCCCATTTCCTACATGCAGCTTGATGCTCAATACAGCAGGAGGAGTTCTGACAAAGCAGGAGCTATTCCAACACAACGGGAGTTGGTTTTATATTGCGAGTAGGAGTCGATCCCACACAGCAGGACATAGCAGGGCCATCCCAAAACAGCAGGTGTCCTCTTGACAAAGACACAGTAGTGCCATCCCAACATAGCAGGACACAGGGTGATCTCATCATAGCGCATCACAGTTGGAGTTGTCACAACGCAGTGTGACATGAAGCTTTATAGAGGTGCTTCATAAGTGAGCTCCAGGCCATGCATAGAGCGGCGGAGACGGATGTAGTGCGGAGATGTGGGAAGTAAGATTTTGGAGATGTACGGAGTGAGAGAAGCATCAATATGGCATGGAGATGAATGGAGTGAGAGAAGTAGAGCATTTCTGCACACCACCATGGCGCGTAACTCGCGGAGAGCTCGTGCAGCTACGTTGGAGAACCCATCGTAGTTCGAGGTAGAAACTGGTTGAACGAGCCCTTCATATCTCCACGGTTAATAAAAGATGAGTAGCACTTTGTGGAGAGCTACCATTAGCTTTTCTCCGATTAGACTCATCCCTGCGAAAGGAATGTGGGATTTACACCAATGGTTCAGTGCTGCGCACAGCAGATGATATCCCCGAGGCTTACTTGAACAACGATTCACTTTGGTTTGAATTTTGCCAATTTAAATCCGAGGACCCTCCCAAGCAATTCCCTGTTCAGGAAGCACTGGATTGACTGGAGATGGTTTGTTTTCATATTATGATTGAAAGCTGCTCACATATCTACTCATGTTGATAAAAAGAGAAGTGGCTCCATGGTGCAGAAACTAACGTTGCCCTGCAAGCTTAAATATTTAAACGGTTTGTTGCACTGTGCATGGCTGACCATAGGGATCACTAATACAATGACTTGAGTTTTCATCTGCACGTGTATTTGTGTGCGTGTGATGTTTCAGAATTGAGACTGCCTTCCATATTGTTCACAAGTGCACCGTGAATGAGCTGGCCTGCTGTCCCATTCTGTGCACGGCTACTTACATGTGAGTGTGACGTTCGTACGTTGTGTCTGTGTTGTGCACTTGTTATTTGTCATACACATACGAGTTATGTGAACAGCCTCATGTATGTAAAGTTTATTGTCTGTTTTTAACCCTTTCCCCATTCCGAGACATCTGCAAGTTGCAGGGTGGTTTCTCAATTACTGCTGAATCTCGGAATGCGCAAGCGGTTAGTGTAAATTTTATTTAGAGAGAACTAGCGACACGATCACACTACGATAGCTGGCGCCAAACTGTGCCACATGCCCTCCCGCATGGCATTGTGGGAGCCTTGGTACGTCTTTCGACCACGTACAGATACAGATATTTTATTTGAGTTTTTCTTCCCATTCCATGCCAATGACGTACACGTACATGCGTCATCGCAATGGGAAAGTGTTAAAGTTGCAAGCGTTGGTGTAAATGCTTACAAAGGAGGAGGCATCATTGTTTGAGAACATGCGCTCCCAAGCTTGTGTGCATGTGACCATGGCTGAAGGAGGTGCAGAGGCCAACTTATTCTAGTATATACTGTGTATAACCTGCAAGATTTATCATGGCTGAGATTAATAAATGTCATTGTAACAAAACAATCCTTGGCTTATCTAACTTGAAAGACTTTGATCAAGCTGGGCTTGGACATGTGTCTGAAAAAGAAGCAATTAGCTCTGGGATTTACCTGGTAAAATAAAAATAGTTTAACACGTACGTTTTCACGACCAATATCATCCATAATACAGGTTTTTTTGGTGAGATCGCGTAAATATATAAATGTGTCGTTAAACCCGCCACCACCCGACGCAGCCAATTAGTAAGGTTTGTCACGTAAACAGAACATGCCAATTCGTTGACATGCTCTCCAATACACCGGTGTGCTGTACTCGTAACGAATTGGCATGTTGTGTTTGTGACAACCCTTACTAAATGGCTGTGTCGGGTGGTGGCGGGTTTAATGACACATATATTTACGTGATCTAACCCAAAAAAACATGTATTATGGATTTTAAAAAATGTCAGTTTGAAAAAATAAGAATAAGTTTTAACATTTCTGGCAATAAAACAGGTGTTATGATGTTAAAACACCAAATATAAACCTTTTGAAAGGAATTATGTCCCATTTCATAATTATGAGAATAGGTTTTCCCCTTTTTTCTGGCACCAAAACAGGTGTTAAGATGTTAAAACACCAAACTGAAACATTTTACAAGGAATCATGCCTGCATTAACCACAATACTTGTGGTCAGAATGCAAACAAAAACATACTCTGATAATATATGCATTGTCTTTTAAACTGATTGTTCCATGGGGAAAAATAAAAACTAACAGCGGAAAGTGGCTTTGATGTACCCATCCTGCCACCTTCCGATGTTAGTTTAAATTTTAGTATTTTCTGCTTGGTTTCGGCTCTCCGATTTTACATTAACGGGTTAAATTTCTCACACCAACATAGCCACCTACGCATACTCGCCATGGAGGCCGCTCTCCAATCTCACATTAACTTTATAATTTCTCACATTAACATCACTAGCCCCGCCCACTTCGTGTATGACCCTTGGGCTACACCCATTTTAAACCTTTAAAAACAGCCTGCCTCAACAGCTTTCCCCCTCTTTTTTCCTCCTGATGACGATCGCTTGTGTTGCGATAGAAACGTCGTAGTTTTTTGTTTATTTTATTTCTATTAATTTGAACCTATCTACGTGCCTTTACCGAAATAACCAAAGAATATAAGAATATGAAATGATAGAATAGATTCCTGCAGACACGAAAGCTTTAGGTCAAGATTTTATACTCTTTGGTTCTTTCGGTAAAGTCACATAGGTAGAAAAATAATAGATCACGACGTTTCGATCGCAATACAAGCAATCGTCATCAGGTGGGACAACCATAGCAAGAAAAAACTGCTGAAGTAGGCGAAAGATCTGCCGTGGCACGAGGTTATATAGGCCTCGGCAGTAGGGGGGGGAGAGAAGTGGGGGGGGGGGGAGGAGGCGGGGCAGAAGGTGGACCCCCCGCAGCACCCGGGTCCACTTTACTCCAGTGACCCGGGTGCTGCTGCGGGGTCCACTTTCTATCCCGCCTCCCCCCCCCCCCCTTCAGCCGATCTCTCCAGTGCTGCTGCGGTGGTCCACTTTGCTCCAGTGACCCGGGTGCTGCTGCGGAGTCCACTTTCTGCCCCGCCTCCTCCCCCCCTTTTCTCTCTCCGCCCCCCCGCTACAGCCGATCTCTGCAGTGCTGCTGTGGTGGTCCACTTTGCTCCAGTGACCCGGGTGCTGCTGCGGGGTCCACTTTCTGCCCCGCCTCCTTCCCCTCCCCCCCACTTCTCTCCCCCCCCCCCCCTACAGCCGAGGCCTATATAACCTTGTGCCACGGCAGATCTCTCGCCTACTTCAGCAGTTTTTTCTTGCTGTGGTTGTCCCACCTGATGACGATTGCTTGTGTTGCGATCGAAACGTCGTGATCTATTATTTTTCTACCTACCGAAAGAACCAAAGAGTATGGATTCCTGCAGTCACGAAAGCTTCAAATCAAGATTTTATTTGTATACTTTTAGTGATTTGCTTACCTTTCCTATACTTTGCACTTCTATTGTGTTTTTGTATTGTTGTTGTAACGTTCTTACCCACCCCTACTGGACATCTGTGAAAAAGAGGATTATAGCTCATCGGTTTCCTCCAATATAAATAAATATTCTGATATGGAGACCTCAGAGTTGGAATCTTCTGAGTATGCTGGCGCACTAATTACTGAAAGCTGATTAAGAGAAACATGAGATTTCGTACTTGCGTGACACTGGTGCATTAACTGCAACATTTTAATTTTCGTTCTTCCGCATCTTGACCCTACTCACCGTGATATTCTGTTGGGGTTTTCAGTGGGTGGAGGAGGTTGGGAAGATGGTCGCGAGCTCGTTGACTCTTCAGAGTTACAAATGGGAAGGTGTGCTCGGAAAGACTCGTTGATCTGGCATCAGAAAGGTGGCCACTAGTCTCCATCACTGTCAATAGACCAAGATTTGTCCTTGTAGGTGTGAAGATCTGTACAGCAGCCAGTCGCTCTGGATGTGGAGTGTAGGATTTGCCTCGCGCACATATGGTTCTGAATATTGCTCATCTTTATACGAGGGGAAGTTCTGCCATTCTTGCACAAGTGATGACCCATCATCTATTCGTTTTGAAAATAACACACACTGTTGATAATACCCAGTACAGTGAAAACCAGTCCAAAGTTTTCCTTCGTAAAACTAATGCCACTAGGCTACACTAATTTTGAAGGACCATTTTCAGTGGATAATGTTAGTTCCTTTTACATGTCGTTAAAACCACTTGTTTGTTTTGTGGTTACAATTCTTGGAATCAGCACATTGTATTTTATTCATAGATTAGTTGTATCTGTAAAAACCATTATGGACTTCTACTCCATGTTGTGTTATGATGAAGTAGTGCAAATGCATTTTTATTAAGAGGGAACACCAGATTGAAATGCTCTTCCAAGGTATAATCAATCTGTTTTAAAAAAGAGAAACCTGACACGTTTTTTTTTATTTCATGCTTCCACCTATAATTTCGCAAATTTTAAATCCCAAGAAAGGTGTTGGATACAACTGTGAGGGCTCATTTGTCATATGCGTTAAAACATCACTTGCACATTCACTATGTATTGGTTTCAGCAAACCTCTTTATACAGTGTTAATTTCATTAGCTAATCCAGGGGTCGGCAACCTACGGCTCCGGAGCCGCATGCGGCTCTTTACAGGCTGCTTCTTGGCAATATGTACAGTATGTACTCAGATGCATTGCGGCTCTTTAAATACTGAATTTTGTACCGAATTGGAAAGAAATGGCTCTTCTTGTTATTTTGGTTGCCGACCCCTGAGCTAATCGTAGGAAATGCAGGTAACAGGGTCATGTTGAGGAGGAGTGCCCCTCTATTTAATGCGATCACATTTTGTTTCACATTGCCATTAACAGTTATTTAAGTCGTGCGGGAGTTTAATTACCATCAATATTGATACAAACAAATATGCCATGGCGAGTTTTTTATAGATATCTGTTTACAATTCCTCCACTAGTTTTATAATTCTCTGTCGTGCATGATGGTTCATCTGGCTGTCGAAGGCTACCATCAACCGTTTATGCTCATTGCTTAGGATGGCATCTTAATGTGTGTCGTTTCCGAATGGTTGTGCAGAGTTCTATGTGTTCTACCATTTTGTATTTTCCCCTATTTCCATAATCCTCTTTTTCTTAATCTTTATTTTGTGGGTTCTAATTGCTAGTTGCCTGCCGTTTTTACTTTGTCCCCTCCTTTCAGTGCACTGTCCATTCTCGTATTGTTGCATTATGTAAAGCGGTGACATGATTTCCTTATTTTGGCCATCTCAGGAGCTGAAATTTGGGGTTTGCAAAGACTAGATCTGATTACCTGCCAAATGTATTGCAGTTGGCCTTGTAGTTATGGATCTTATCTATTTTTATGTTTAAATACACACAGCCTGTAAATAAATGCTACTAGTAGGGGAAATATCTCTGGGTATAAGACATTTTAAATCATTTAATAGTCTAATGCCAAATCCCTTAGGCCAACATTAATCATCGATGAGTATTATCCTGTAACTGAGGTGATATGATTAATCTGAAATACAATGTTTTTACGTTAAATAAAAACTGAGGCCCACTGATACGGTAAGTTAATTGTGTTATCCATAACCTACCGCTGCTGAAGTGAGCAAATTGTTTACAGTAAAAGGCCTATGATCCATTCCATATAATAAAGTTTAATTAAAATGAGAGAAATGTAATACCACTTGCATTATTTCATTCAAAGATGTATTATCCGTTCTAGTCACCTAAGCTTCATGTATGTTAAGTGAATCCCAATTAACTCCTGCTTTCTAGCCATTGAATGAGTTGCAATTAAGTATGAAAACGATAAGCAGCTGTGTCTGTGAATAAAGATGCAACCATAAAATCAAAGAGTTCTTGTAGATAGGTACCTAGGCCATGTGTCTTGAGCTGTACAACAAGAATTTCATGAAATTATCGTTGAGAACAACATGCTTTAAAATAATTTTGATACCCCATTACAACCGCTGTAGTGGCACTATAGTAAATGTTTGTTAGGCAACTAGGACACTGTAATGGAGGCCATACTAATTTGGTGTAGTTCTCATTCATGAGACTTCTAAATCGTGTTGGACAGCCAAGGGCATGCAGCCTAAGTGCATACCTAGGAGTTTGAGAGGTTTTTTTGGGTCGCTCTTTTTTATCCATCAATTTGCATATCCGGGCTTTTATTCGCCACATAATAAGATGTGTACACTTGTTCATTATGTACGAAAATGTATATATGCGTGAATTTATCGGAAAAAATATTTTGTGTTTTTTGTGCACAAACATGAATGCTTGTGTGCTGGGTGTGTGATGGCTTGCATGGTCGTGCGTGTGCTCGCTTGTCTGGCGGTGCAGCAGGCCTCATGCGGGAACGAGCACAGAGGCGGCCATGCAGAGCAGCACGGTGGACAAGCTGGCGGAGGCTCGGCGCACCAATTACCAGTCTGGCCGCTGGGTCTACACAGAGGGCAATGGGGAGGTGTGTGTGGCCGTGGTGCAGCCGCACATCTTCCTGCCGCAAAACGGAGACTTCTCGCCTTACTACAGCTGGGTGGAGGCACGCAGGAATTCCACGCAGGAACCCGGTGAGTTTGGCGGGTTCATGCATTTCATGGTGATGATGGTGCTGCCTAATGGGCAAATACTTCTGTAGGGTACATGTTTGCATATGTTCTAGCGATGGAGGTTCACCTCCCTGCTGCGGTCAAGATGACCAACAATTGGGATCTAAACATAACCTCAGCCGTTTTTGGAAGTTGACTTAGCCTAAATTGAGTACCTGGTGCATTATATCAGCACTGAGTCAATCGAGGTAGTTGCTGCTGGTCATACCACCCCATCCTGCAAAAAGCCAGTCTTCATAGATAGATGCCCCTGTATAACGAGACTGGGTGTCTGTCTCAGTGCTGGAGCAGGGCAGCCCGGCGTACCGCATCACAGCCGCTCTGTGCCACACGGCTCAGCTGGTGTCCGTGCTGTCTCACATCCTGGGCATCAACCTGCCCCAGAGGCTCTGCTACAGGTGAGGTCCCAAGGCTGGCCAGCCTTCACCCACTCACTCAGGATTTAACACTGGTTTCTTAAAACAACAGACTATCAAAATATAGCTTTTCCTAATGTCTTTTGAATGTGATATTTTATCTGTCCTGATATGATAACTATCTGAATTTTATCTTTATTTAAGGCACAACTTGTGCCAATTCCAAAATTGCTCAATTGTATCACTGTTTTATCAATTTGAATGTCATTTATCAGTGATACAAGGTTGAAAAATTATATATCAAGGTTGTTTTCCAAAATCCAAAAGGAATTACATTTTCTTAGCCGGTTTCACGTTTTAAATTGAATTATTTACTAATCTACTGTGTATGAATATTGAACACTATTTCATGATTGTGTAGTGTCGTACAGACGGACTCTTCAACGTCTTTTGTAGCACACACTTTTATTCGTCTTATGAACACAGTCCCTATGCACTGAGGGGTATACGGTCCCCTCACCCGTTACACTCAGAACGTACAAGCCTCTGCACCCTACAGGCTACTTAATATCCCGCTCTTTCAGTGTCCTCTGACTGGACCTAGGGAGATGTCTCCCCGACCACTGGTTACTCTGAACCCTAGCCCTTATAAGGGCTGGAGGGCTTGGTCCAGGGTCCTAGGCTTCTTCCGCCGTCTTGGGTCTTCGTGTAGTCGAACTCCCCGAGAGCTCTGAGCGCTCTGGCTTTATACTTGTTCGTGGCCGGGTTGTCCAATCCCCGGTCACCTTGTGGAACCCTGTGATTGGTCGTTCCCAATCTGCTTTAGGATCCCAATTCACCCTATCTGACCCTGACCGTTAGGTGGCGCGGGAAAACCTTGTTTATGGTCAGCTCTCACAACTTGTGAGACCCTGACCGTTAGTTTGAGCGGGAAAACCTTGTCAACGATTAGCTCTCCCAGTTTGTGAATATCGAGTAGTTAACTCTACTACAATTGCATAAAATGGATCTTTAGCAAAACTGATATATTTACTTGAAAGCATGTGTGCCTGTTGAAGCTGAAGACTACTGTTGTCGCAATATGTTTCAGTAATGCTGATTTGTTTGTTGGTGCACAGTGAGTTCTGCCGGGAGGACATAAGCCGTCACCGCTTCATTCGGGCTGTGCAGAAGCTCAACACCAATGTTCTACACCTCTGCTGCTCCCAGGTAAACCACAGCCACAGCAGCCGTAAGAGGCCTGCACATTTCACTCCACTCTCACAGGGTGCCTGGTCAAGATTGTCGATGTAAATTGCCCCACTTTATCCTTTCACTCATTATGACACAGAAGACATTGCCAAACACAATCATGCTCATATCTCCACACTCGTTGGACAACAATCGGAGTGCGCCATCCTTTAAACATGAAACCAGCAGGACATTCTCTGTTATTGCATTGTTGTAACCACACATGTTTATCAGATGACGCACTTACATTTCCAGAGTTTAATGTTTGCTTAGCATCAATATTGTTGGTGCCAAATTGGTATAAGCAAGCTGAATTAACAAGTATAGAAATGTAAAGGCTATAAACAATTATTGGTTTGAAATTATAAGGTGTCATATGCCAGAGGTTTCTGGGTTTTCTTTTCTCAACTTATTCCATTATACTCTGCATCATGGCATGAACTAAATTACACTGGACAGTGTGCTCCATGCATGAGACAATGGCTGTGGAAGAGATTTTTCACATGACTATTGAATAATCATTAAAGTGATCTTTTTAGTTTTCAAGCAGTAGGGGTGCACACTTCATATTGTACAATTGTAAGCATCACAGTCAAAATGATATTTTACTCCTCAGATTGAATTGAGCCAATTCATGTTCAATAACAAATTTTACGTGATTTTTCTTTTCTGCAGTGACTGGGCTAAGATGAAACACTCATTTCGACTTTAGTATCCAGTTTAATCGTGGGTGGCCGAAACCCGTATTTGAATCCAGTATCTCAGCTTCATGGACTCAACGCTCTGACCTCTGAGACACCCGGCCACCTCTTGCCAGACCTCACTGTTGAGGATAGAGAATTGCACACTCTATTATTGGCCAAAAGGCATTCATAGGACACTACAATTAATTATATGACCCCCTTTATGTGTCAATTGAGTTTTTTGTTTAATTGCAATTTCTATTCCAGTGCCAGTCACACCCTGTTGAATTTAATAATAATAATTCCATGAATGTCGCGCTTTTCATCAAGGATCTCAAAGTGCTGTACAGGACACAGCAGCAGCAGACACTCGGCATAACATTTTTTATATTATAAATACATAAACAAATACACTTACTAAATTAATTTTAAAGTTTCATAAGTGGAAGCGTATACATGTGTTTTAAGATGCATTTTTAAAATGTCTACAGACTCGGAGATCCCTGATATCTCGTGGATGAGCATTCCATAGCCTGGGGGCTACACGGAAAAAAGCTCGGTCACCCATAGAGCGAAGCCTTGACCTGACAATGAAGAGAAGATCTACATCCACAGATCTTAGGGAACTTGAGGGGACATGGGTGCAGCATGTCAATTATGTAGAATGGGGCAAGATGGTTCACGGATTTCTAAGGTAACAATAGGATTTTAAACGGTATTCTATGTGAAACTGGAAGCCCCAGTGCAGGGAGGCCAACACGGGTGTAATATGATGTGAAGGTGTTCTGGTTAACACCCTAGCAGCCACATTTTGAACATGCTGCAAATTGATCAGTACATTCTTAGCCACCTTTACACCTGCATTGCTCACATCCAAGTGTCTTAGATTAGCAGCCAGCCACCTGTTTCACTTGCTGTTTCCCATGAGTTACTGACACACTCCACACTGATTCTTGCAGCATGTGGACCCTGAGCTTTTGCATCCATTACGTCCGCTCAAGAACCTGATGTACATGGTGAGGCCAGACAACAGCAGCCTAGGAAGGTGAGACTTTCTGTGCATGGTATTAGCACGTTTGCCTTCAATTATGCTTTGTCCCTTCAGTGAATGTGGTCATTGTACTCTTCGTGCAATGACTCAATTGTCAGATGAGTACTTGGAATACAATGACAGTGTGATAATTTGTATTATTACCTAGTAAGGATGGATTTTGGATTTCCATTTTTAGGATTTTTTAAAATTTTGGACAATTTTCAGATCGTGTTGAGATTTGCAGATCCTTGAAAGTATGTCATCCTTTACATTGTGTTATCCTTTACATTTTATTCTATATGTATGTGCCTTTAGCCATGAGATACAACTTTTTAGTGTTAAAACAAATATATTTTTCCAATCTAGCATCGTGTTTTTGTCAAAAATTTTGAAGTAACATTTTCTTGGCAACCTTTCACATGCTACACTGTTTCATGTAGTACGAACAAAACAACACATGGCTGTATTATCATGGGCCGAAAGTGCAGTGCGTGTGTATCGCCTCTGAATTCACTGGCTTCGCACACTTGCCTTCAGGAGCGGGCCATTTGAGGTGACGGCCGACATGGAGGACTCGATGGAGCTGGTGGACGCCAGCACAGCCAGTCAGTCTGAGGGCAGCGATGGGGAGGACACGACCGACGAGGAGACGGACCTGGGGCTCGACTGGGAAACTGTCCCCAACCCACGCTTCATGGACATCCCGTCACGGGCACTGGAAGGCAGCCCCAGTCAGAGCACTGCGCTCACAACCACCGGTGGCACCAGCCTGCAGGACTCGGGGCCAATCTCTGCGAGCAACGCGGGCGGTCTCGTGTCCTCCGCAGTCGCCTCCATGGCCTCTATCTGGAGGGCGTACACTGGCACACGCTGATGCGACTCGGCATCGCAAAGACCTTGTCCTGTGTGGCTTTTCCTCGTGTGTACCCTCTACTCAACGCGAAACCAGTTTGCAGTTGTGTGCATTATATTTCATCAGTGTCCACCGTGTGTGTGTTGGCTATAACCAGTGCTGGTGGCGCATAACGATGCACGCTTTTGCGAACCGCACTCTTGAAGTGACTATGGTGTGTGCTAGTCTCTGGGCCAAGACGTTATATTTTGTCTGAGCAGTGCTCATGACTATATATGAAGAATGAAGTGAGGTGAGTTGCTGCTCTTCACAGCCCTTGCACTTTGGCTGTTGTGATGCTTCAGCTCTCAGCAGCGTGGAACAGATTTTGGCAGTTGTGCTGGACTTTATGCACAAATGTCTTAAACGTAATGGTATCTTCCTCCTATTGGGGAATAATCATTTACATTGTAGTTACGGGCTTATTTAAAACATTTGTTAAATGTAAAATGTTGATTTCATAACTTGTTTAATCAGTGTTATGTTAACTTGTTTGGGTTTGCTTAAAGTAAATACCTTTTGCCAAAACTACAATTGAATTCAAGGTAGATTTTGTGCGGTAGTACCATGACTGTTTTAGTCATTTGCGTTGCATGCATACCAATGTTAAAGGAAATGCTCAGAACACTGCATTTAAACACTTTTACCCATCGTTCCCTATGTTTGGGAAATTTACAAAAAAGTTATCACATCTTGCACTTAAATTTGCTCCCGAGGGAATGCAACATTTCCAATGTAAGTTATTCACAAAGTTAATCAAAATGAAAACTAACATTGGTGGGCCCTACTAGCATGTCACCTTTCTTTAAAGCTACTTGTTTGCCTAAGTGGTGAACCTATGTATAACAGCATGTGCATCCAAGCACTTTCTTCAATTTTTACAGTGTCTTACAGGTGAAATAAGCTCTCTAGGCTTATACTGTTATGTGGCCGTTTAAGTAGATGTCATTACATCTCGTTGAGGTTGCTGTTGCAGCGTTTAGAGTAGTGGTTTTAAGCAGATTGCAGTTGCGCCATTTGTTTTTATACCATTACAGAAGTTGCATCTCTTGGTAGTGCCACCTTTTGAGCTGGCCTGAATGGCACAGTGAAGTTAGTTGGAACTGATGTAGGTGTACTTTAAGAGTTCAAATAAACTTACAACTCAAGTCAATGCACACAATTTAGTTAACTTCACAGCCAGTTCCATATCTTAACAGCATCTGAAGCATCACTTAACACCAAACACAGTGGCAACACCACTCCACAAATCATATGTACTGGAATTTCAAAAGATGAAACTTGTTTTAGAAAGGTCATGAGATTATTACATGAGCTGGTAAATAATTCAAAATGTAAACCAAAGCAGGATGTAAATTAACATTGTCCAACCGAACAGTTTGAGCACCCTTTCCAAAGGCTCTGATTACTCTGAAGAGGGGCACTCTTTAAGTATAAATTGGTGAAACGTGTTCACACTTAACAAGGTCTGGGCCACTTGGGTAAACGCAGAAGTAAGTTATGTATTGTTTGTGCAACAAAAATGGTGTTGAGATCTCACGTCAAGTATGATAGATCTTTCAACCCCAGCTCTGCCCAGATCCTCCTTGCTGGTGTCCATCCATCGAGTACATAATTGCGCATGTGGCCATGAACACATTAGCACTTGCGAGCCCGTTAGGACTATGAGCAGACTGGTCTCTTTATTCGTGCCTAGGTTTTCCTTGGTGTTTACCTCATGTGCAATTAACATAAATTAGCGAGTCGATTTTTCATCTTTTCCATATTGATTGTTTCTATAACTTGAACTGTTTTAATGACGCTTGCCCGTGGAATATAGGTATTGTTTGGATATACAGCGGTCAGTGTTGGAATCTCAGGAACCCTGCTGTGTTGGACAGCCTGTGGCTTCAGGAGAGCATCCAACACCGCACATGAACAGACTCTACTCCCATTCGTGAAAGTAATAAGGTCTTGTGGTTGTAATTGTAAAGTTTACATGTTAAAAGTCAAAGAATTCGAGATTTGTAATAAGAGGAGAGGTGTTAATAAACTGATGACTGTTTTATAATTTAAACTTGTAATTTCAAACCGCATTGTGGGCATGTGTTCCTCAGTTGAAAATGAAATGTGTGCAATATTAGCATGTGTTTTGAGCTATTTTTTTACAAAAATTATCAAACTATTTTGTTCATCAATGTTTTTTTCTCCACAATTTTACAAATAAATTGGTATTTAACTTTTTTAGTTTTAGATTTAATGTAGAGTATGCAACATTGCAGGTTATTTAAACTCTTATATACTCGTTAAGAAGCATACAACTTACAGCAGAATGTTTAGAAATATACTGCACACCGATGAAACTGCAAGCAGCATGTGATGTTGATAACACAAGTCCGTACTTGAGATGTTTTTCTCAATTTAAGATGTATCCAAAAACTCGAAAAATCCCGGATACCTCATTTTTGATGATCCAGGAAAAACTGTTTCTGATTTATTTGACAACTAGCTTATATACCCGGCGTTGCCCGGGCCAACATTTTTTTTCAAAACTACTCTTAAAAATCTGACAGCAGTACGTACTGACTGGTGGTACCTGCTATGATTGCAGCAGAGCATACCGACTGTGGTGGTACCTGCTATCATTACAGCAGTGCATACCGACTGGTGGTACCTGCTATGATTACAGCAGTGCATACAGACTGGTTGTACCTGCTATCACTACAGTATTACATGCTGACTCTATAGCAGTATTTATCGACTGTATAGCACAAAGTACTCACCTGACAGAGTGGCGTGGTGAGGCCTAGTCCCGTGCAGAGCCTCCGGCCTCGCCTAGATTGTCCAGCCGGCCGAGGTGGCACCTTGGCAGGCTGGGGCTGGACTACTACACCTGACCCCCCCCAGCCACGATCTCCCCGGTAATATTTACGGCCTATAGTGGTAGCATCTAGCGATTAGTAACTGCACGCATCGGGGTGGGGGGGAGGGGACTGAAGATTTAAGCTCAGCGTTTAATGTATTTTTTAAAGCATTTTTAACGCGAAAGAAAATGTCCCCCTCACTCCCACCGAAGGCATGCGACTTGGCATGCCCCCCCCCCACCAAAGGCGCGTGAGTTGGTATGGGCGTGCACGCGTCATAAATAAAGAGCTAGCGCAAAAAATCACAATCGCTAATTAAACTTATTAGAAGTTGACCGATGTGATAAAAGGAATAGCGCTTGCTCACGGAGGGGATTACGGTGTGGTACTGTTGTATATATAGGCCTTTTTCCAAAAAATCATTAAGAATAATTCTGCCAATATTTATTTTTTATAATCGATGCGGGTGAGCATGGGGCATGAAAGGGTAAGGCACACCCCACCCCTCACACCCAGCTGCATTGCCACATTAAAGCAACTGGAGGAAGGTCATAAAGAGCCATTAAATAATAAACTCCGGGGCAAAGGGAGGTTAATGATAATCTGGGAAATATCCAGATTGTCAAAGGACCATATGACACGACCTCCACGGACGTTTTGGACAGTTCACAAACAAATCTCCAGACTCACTGGTACGAACGCAGAGCACAGGGCAAACGGACATTACAACTGGCGTTTTCTTTAACGGTAAAAGTTCGAAACTTTGCGACAAGAATAAATCGACATAGACTGCAGTCTACATTAGTGGCTTTTAGTAATACTTATTTTATTTCACCCTTATTCACCTCATAGCGTCACTAGATGGGTGCGGACCGCACCGGGTGACACCATCACAGGGGGTGACACCAAAATGGCTATAGAATTTTTGTGCAGTGTTTCAGCAGAATTTTTTTTTATATCCCTGCAGTTAATTATAACAATAAAACCATTTTTCGTAAGCCCAGCTTACATGTACAATATACATACAAGGCTAAAACTCTGTGCTAATTTACTTTTTGAACCTTCGAATGCGCTCCAACTCCAATGACGCTTCGAGTCACGTGGTTTCGTCTGCACGCGCTGCGAGCACGCGCTGTTATCGTCGCTGCTGGCGTTTTTATAGTCGCTGATTTTGTCTAATTTTCTGGTGTTTTAGCTACAATATTGTGGTAATTAGTATTTGTGAACCTATATCAATAACTTGCTTGAGAATTAAGTAGTAATTAAAGGAAATATTGTAATTTAAAGCTTTAATTTTGCTAGTTTGTTACTAGTATTGCCATTACATTAAGTGGTATACGGGAATTACGATTTACGAGTAACAGTACAACAAACATTGCTAAGGATTCTGAATGTTCTAGTAGGGGCGGAGGTCCATGAGGGGTGACACCATGAGTTACCACACTGGGTGACTCCAACCCTAGTGACGCCACTGATGATAATAACCCCATTTTACCCACAGTATGTTATTATTAAATTTATTATTTTATCTTTATACGTGACTTTACCGAAAGAACCAAAGAGTTTTACCCACAGTATTAAGGAATCTTAGGGCTGCACTGGAGACAGCCTCTAGATCTGCAATGGAAGCACCACCGTACCCGGCAGGCTTTGCCGGACTAATATTTTCAGGAGTGTAACATTGACTTCACAGGTGAGGATTTTATTCACCTCTGACTGGCAAAACGAATGTCGTGGGTTTGAATTAACCTACAGAGGTATAGTGCAAGTTCCTGTGCGTTCATCATGTCCTAGTGGACTATATTTGTGTTATGCAGATCATGTGTATGTTGTGTGTGTGCTGTATGTGTATGGAAGAGTGTAGGTGAGAGTTGTTAAAATATATTTCGGAGCGCGGAGTTCGGATCCATTTTCTCTGCCATGCAATTCCCTCAATATGTTTTATAGGGTATCAATGCGGATTTTTAAACTTGCTTTAACGGCGACAGAAAGAAGGACAATAACTCGATCCGGAATACAAAGAATCTTAAGATTTGGAATGTATTAACTATGCCTTGATTCGTTATGCACTATTGAAACACTTTGCACAAGGACGTCAACCAACTATGACAGATACATTCTTAACCAAGTACAATTCTTCAAACTTTCGGCAAAAGTAACAGCCCATTTGTATCACCTCGTAGTTCACCAGCTAAACACAGCACCCCGCGTTAACAATCACAGAACACTGTGGAAACAAAACAGATACAGAAAAACGCGACCGTTTGCACCAAACCGCGACACCAAACCTTACGAGACTCAGCAGAAGTCCAGGGTATGCAAATCCGTTCTCGAGGTCGCGTACAACCTTAGGGATTCCCCAGGACCCAACAGTAGTGTAGCACCCCCACTATTCAACTCAACCTCGGTCTTGGTTTGCATTTACAACAGTACTCTAAATGTATCCACGCGGCGACATTCTCGGGACCTGGCTGGTGCTTCCAACAGCGCTTTGAACTCAACGCAGCTGCAGCGTTGGTCACTGAGCCGCCCGCCCGGCAGTAGCAGCTGGTCTTGAACTGGAGTCCTTTGGTCGTCGTCAGCGTCGATCGTCCCTTCCCCCCATACACGGATAGCGCTCACTTAAATACGCCAATGTGATCTTGCTCTCACAGCCTCTGTCAATCAACTTAGCTCGTGCAGCACCCCCCAATCAGAACCCTGTAACATCATGACATAAGCCCTGACTTTTTGTTGAGCTCACTTTCCACCAATCACGCACAGCTCCGTCAAGTAATGCTCTCACCTCATGCGAACCGACTTGCCCTGACTGGCCAATTCGTGTCCCGGCCCCAGTCAAGCCAGACAGTTTTGAGCTCACGGAACTATCTTCTGGCCAGGCTGTCTGGCTCAACAAGGGGCCCGGTCACTACGTACGGTGGGCCTCTCTCTGTGCTACTCTGTAGCAGAATACTGCGCACCTGTATGGACTCGATCAACTCACACCAAATTGGTAGACACTCAGCTGAATGTCACCATGAGAACGATCTCCATTGCAATCAGTACAACCGTGGCTGCTCGTACTCTGCAACATCCCTCCACCAAAAAATTACCGCCAAGCTGCAATGCCCAAGCTGCTAAATAAGGGGCCGTCCATAAATGACGTCACGCACCTAGGGGGGGGGGGGGTCAGGCATTTGTGACGATGTGTGACGATGGGGGGGGGGGGGTGTTTGAGAAATGTGACGTCACATCCAAATGCACAGCTTTAAATAAATATAGACAACACGTTCTACTTAATTAAATAGACTTTTTAATAAATGCTTTCTCCTACAACATCAGAGTGCAGCGCCACATTAAATACGCACTACAATGACAATAGTTTAAAGTGATTTGAAGCATGTTTTATTTGGGGGGGGGGGGTGGGCAGAGCTTTGTGACGTCATATTTGAGGGGGGGGTCTGACTTTTTGTGACGCCGTGTGACGAAGGGGGGGAGGGGGTCAAAAATCGTCCAAAATCGCGTGACGTCATTTATGAACGGCCCCTAAGGAACATGCAGCATCGGAGTTGCCCTTTCACATCGACATCTTCAAGCCTCCCACCCGTGCGTCTGAAGGCCCGACACTCGGTGTGGCCATTACCACAGCCCCAGGACTCGAGTATGCGGGCACCCACACTGGCGAACAAGGACCTCATCAGTGATCCGTCTGTCCAGTTGAACCGCTTCCGCTGTGACCAGGGGTTGTGTGCGCTGCTTTCAAACATCGATGGGGCATTCGTGTGAATGCGGGGAGCAGGAGACCATGGCGCACACCATCTCCGGCTGTGAAGTGCGTCAGGGCGTGCCGGGCAGACTCGTTGTCCTGCACGTGCTGGAGGAGGAGGCTGTCACGTGACTTTGTGGCGACGTGGGCTGATGTCCACTCACACATAACA